GGCAGGTCAGAGGGGTATAAGAGTTAACCTGGAAGAGTTCCCAACAGCTATAAAACTGAAACAGTTTGAGCAACAAAATAACACAGAACTGAAGTATAACCCAAACTATAAAATAAATATATATAAGTCCATCCTGACATAAATGAACATACAAAGGTAAAGAGACAACAAATCTTCCTTACGGAAGAATTCTGAATACTCCCACTCCTTGGAGGTGGTGTTTGATTCCATCACCCCCTTTCCAGTCCTTATTCCCACCTCCAGTGAGAATGGGCTAGGCTTAGTGACTTACTTCCAAAGAATATAGCAGAGAAAGGGACAAAAAGATACATTTTCAGTGGAGAAATTTGGCAAATACCACCTTATCTGAATAATCAAACTAAATATCACCACATGGATATCATATATCCCCTGACATGATGTGATGAGAAGAACGTTTTGCCTCTGTGGTGTTCTTCCCCCAAATCCGTACAACTCCAGTCTGATCATGAGAAAAACAAATCCAGACTGGGATATATTTTGCAAGTCATGAGAAACAAGGAAAGACTGAAAAAACTGTTCCAGACTAGAAGACAGTGGGGAAGTATAACAACTAAATGTAATGTGGTGCCCTGAACTGGATCCTGGAAAACAAAAAAGGCACTGATGGGAAACTGGTGAAATCCAAATTAGTTACTAGTAATGTACTAATACTGGGTTCTTAGTTGTGACAAATGTACCATGTAACGTAAGATGTTACCTATGAGAAACTGGGTAAGAGGTATAATAAAAAATTTGCACTATCTTTGTAACTTTCCTATATTTAAAAATTATTCAAAAATAGCCCTGGCTGGTGTGGCTCAGTGGATTGAGCACCAGCTTGTGAATCAAAGGGTGGCTAGTTCGATTCCCATCAAGGCACATGCCTGGGTTGTGGGCCAGGTCTCTGGTTGGTGGCATATGAAAGGCAATCGGTCAATGTATCTCTCACACATCGATGTTTCTCTCCCTCTCCTTCTCCCTCCCTTCCCATCTCTCTAAAGATAAATAAATAAAATCTTTTAAAAAATTATTCAAAAATAGAAAGTCTATATAAAAACAACAAAATTAACTTTTAAAATGGGGCCATAAACCCACTAAACCGACATGAATATCCGTTTGGAAAATGTTAACCTTTTAAATTTAACTACCATTTACTCTACTTTAAAAGTCTACTAAGTAAAATTCAAGAAAAACAAAGCTAAGGGAAAGAAAACTAACAATTTCTTATCAGAGATTAAATATTGCATTAATCTGAGACATGATGTACCGTATATTAATAGTCCTAAAAATATGCATATTAAACTAGGAACATTTGACTGACATTATTAGAAACACTCCATAACACATTAAAAAAATACGAAAACTTCATATTCTGCCAATTTAATCTTCTGTCAAGTTTCACTGTACACTGTGTTCTGTGCTTCACTGCACTTTACTGGGAAAGAGGGAACATATTTAATCCACTAGTGATATTATAATAGAGAAACCAACATTTCATAAATTTACATCTTTCATGTATTACTAAATATGAGGGGAAGTCAGATAACTTTATAGATAAAACAACTTTATAGATAAAACAAATGAATATTGAAAGGCTGTTAAATCAAGGCTGTCCAAAACTTGGATATAAGGCCAAAAGGTAGATAGCATGTGCTTTCAATAATTTGGGGACACAGACCCATATTAAATAACCCGCTAAGAGGTTATTTAATTACTTAGAGGAAGGTACTTGCTCAATTATTCTATTTTTATTGAATGAAATATCCCAGATTAACCAAAGTTACATGTGAATTTATAGATTTTGTCCAGTAGAGTTGTAAATAATTTGTCAGAACACAAAATTCCAAAGGTCAGTGTTTATTGGTCTGTAGGACATTAACCAATTTGTAACTAACCTAGCAATCTTATTCTAAAATTCCTTTATAAAATTGTCTATGAATACACAGTTCAAATACTCTTTGAACTAGCCTTACTATTTTATTTATTCCCTCAGTAATTAAAAAATAAAATACTTGATACATGTTAACTTACTATTTGAATGAGTCATATTTTAGTTTTTAAAACTACACTTTGATAGGCATAAGAAACTGGTCAATTACTGGAGGCAAGTTTACATAACGGGGTAAAGACAGTCTTTTCAACAAGTGGTATTGGGAAAACTGGACAGACTGATGAAAAAAATGAAATTAGACCACTTTCTTAGACCATATACAAAAATAAACTCAAAATGAATTAAAGATTTAAATGTGAGACCTCAAACCACCAAACACCCAGAAGAAAAGACAGGCAATAAATTCTCTGACGTCACTCTTCGCAATAACTCTTTGGCTATGTCTGCTGAGCAAGGAACACAAAAGAAAAAATAAATAAATGGGTCTGCATCAAACTAAAAAGTTTCTACACAGTGAAGGAAACCATCAACAAAGCAAAAAGACTTCCTAGTGAATGGGAGAAGATATTCACCAATGATACATTCAATGAGAAGTTAATATTAAAAATATATAAAGGGTTCATACAGCTTAACACCAAAACAAACAAATAAAAACTTCAAATAATCTGATTAAAAAATGGGCAGAGGACCTGAACAGACATTTCTCTAAAGAGAACATACAGATGACCAACAGCCATATGAAAAGATGCTCAACATCACTAATCATCAGGAAATGCAAATTAAAACCACAATGAGATATCATGTCACACCAGTCAGAATGGCTATTATTAATAAATCAGCAAACATCAAGTGTTGGCAGAGATGTGGAGAAAGGGAACCCTCATACACTGTGGGTAGGACTATAAATTAGTACAGCCACTACAGAAAACATTATGGAGATTCCTCAAATAGTAAAAAACAGACCTGCCATAATTCCACGTATGGGTACTTACCCAAAGAAATTCCACTTATGGGTACTTACCCAAAGAAAATGAAAACACTAATTTGAAAAGATACTTGCATCCCTATGTTCATTGCAGCATTACTAATAATAACCAAAATATGGAAGCAATGTAGCTGTCCATCAATAAATGGATAAATAAGAGGTGATATAATAGGGGTGGGCAAAAGTAGGTTTACAGTAATTAATGAAGTAGATTTATAATAATTAATAATGATATAAGAATAAACTTTGATTCACATACTTACAATGAGAAACCTAATTTTGCCCACCCCTGTATAATACACACAATGAAATATTACTCAGCCATAAAACCAAATGAAACCTTGTCATTTATGACAACATGGATGGGCCTAGAGGGTATTATAATAAGTAAAATGAGTCAAACAGAAAACGACAAATACTTTATCATTTTACTTATATATGGAATCTAAAAAAAACAAAACAAATAAACAAAACAGAAACAGACCTATAGATATATAAAATAAGCTGATGGTTGCCAAAGGGGAGGGTGGGTGAAGGGATAAAAATAATTTATATTAAAATTTTTAAAAATCTACACTTTGTCAGGCATTAGGTACTTTCCATGACATGCCTGACAAGGCCCTGCCCTCACACAGCTCTGCAGATTCTACAATCTCAAAGGGCCTTTATGATGATAGATTTTCTGTATAGTATTTTAATAATATTATCAATTATTTGGTTATTAAAATTGTCAAACAACATATTTCTGCTTCAAAGATAAATCAGAAAGAATCTAAGTAAAGCATATGTTATTTTGAAGACCATTTTTCTTCCACCATTGACTTTCCCATCCTGAGTAAAGTACTGGTATGTTAAAAAAAAAAAAAAGAACATGAACACTATTCTATTATACTTCCCCTAGGTTTTCCCACCTGTATATATTAAGAACAATGGGAAGCATATAAAGATTCCCTTGTTTTCACTGGAGCCATTTCTTCAAGAAATTTTTAAGTCTCAATCTCTATATGAGAAAACAAAGATGCATAAAACAGACTCAGTACTTGTTGAGTCAGCATTAAGAAATTACTCCCAAAATCACAGAACATAGTATTTACGCAGGACTTTAAAAATCTTCCTATCCAATTCCTTGTTTTAAAGGAAAGAAAAGTTGGAGCCCTGGTGGGCTACCTCAGTGGTCAGAGCGTTGCCCAAGACACGGAGGCTGTGGGTTCATCCCCAGTCAGGGCACATACAAGAAACAACCACGAATGTATAGATAAGTGGAACAACAAAGCCTTCTCTCTCTCAAAACAATAAATAAAAAAAAAAAAAAGAAAAGGAAAGCTGGGCTGGAAGGGGTATAGAGCCTTTCCAGAGATTTAAGAGTCACTAAAATTAATGTGATCTGACGTCTAGGACTTTCTAATTTCTCGCATGTCTCTCATGATGACTTTGTTGGTTAATTCTCTTCATGTAAACCAATCATTTACAGTACTTTTCTTCTATTTGTTTCAAGTACCTTTCTTTTTTTTAAAGATTTATTTATTTATTTTAGAGAGGGAGGGGAGGGAGAAAGAGAGAGAAAGAGAAACATGAATGTGCGGTTGGTGGGGGCTGTGGCCTGCAACCCAGGCATGTGCCCTGGCTGGGAATTGAACCTGCGATACTTTGGTTCGCAGCCCGCACTCAATCCACTGAGCTATGCCAGCCAGGGCCTACCTTTCTTTTTTTTAATGAAATGGGCTAATCCCATTTCATCCTGGTTCAGGCATGAACTATAACTTTATTTTCATAACATGATTAATTATACTTAAATTTTCATTATTAAAAATATAGTAAAATTTTAAAAATTGTAGTTTCATATTTCCAGTGTTACATTTTTTCACTAAGAAGTCCAGACTAGGGAGTAAAAGGGAGAAAACTATACTTGAACAATGATTAAAATAAAAAAAATGCAAAAAATTGTTAAAAAAAAAAAAAGAAGTCCAGACTAATGTGATTCTTATAAAGTAAGATTTCAATTTTTAGGTTTTAGCATTGGGAAAGGAAATGTTAATTCACTCTCACTCAGCCAACCCATAATCAGTAGTACATTAAAGCAAAAGAGAAAAGAAAATTCTGTACCCTGACATCACTTCTAGGTGAAGTTGTCCCGAGACAGTTAAGAAAGCAGGAACATCGAAGAAATTCTCTTCAGGTACCTTTATTTTGCTTGAAGGCTGCAAATGAAAACCACAAATCACAAAAAGCTATTACATGCTTTGATCACTTTTCACACTCACATATGTGCCACAACTAAAAATCATAATGCAATTAAACAATGTGAGGCCAGGTCATTCTCATGAAAACAAAGGCAGTTCTTAGCACACACCTAAGAGAAAAATGGTTGCTTGTGAAGTGCTTAGGTCAAGGAAGTTTGCTCCATATTTTCCAAACATACAAAAACCAAATGAAAAAGTACTTTTGTCACAAAAAAAATTTCTCCCTAAAAAGTGATTCTGATTGAGGCAAAAGATTATGAATTAAAAAGTTTAAATGTGAATAATTATAGAATTTCTTAAAATTCTGACTCATGATTAAGATTTCATTTCTTAAGGGAATAGCCTCTAGAACTGTTACTACTATTAATAATGCTCTTAATACAGCTTTTTATAAACACATTATAAACTTTTAAACACATTATTTTATTTAATTGTCACTACTACTAGGAGGTAAGAGTGGGACCCTACCTTTAAAATACATGATAAGTAGGTAGATTTAAAAATCTTTATGAACTTACAATATCGATAGAGTAATTATTCCATTTAAAATGGGTAGTCAACAAGCTAATCAACATTTGTAACAGTTAAGCTAAAAAATTATTTGGAGGTCAAACACAATTTAAATAGTATAATTAAGAAAGTTCCTGAATCAAGTTATGACTATTACACCAATTTTTTTGGAAAGAAGCCAGCTAATTTACTAACTACTGTATTTCAAATTGTGTATTTATTTGAAAGTGTTCTACTGTAATGGTACAGTTACCATAAAAAATAAGTCAATTTTAAATATGCAATAGAGGATGTAAGACTCCTTTTAAGAGAGTTACCATATTAACTCAAACAGTTACCATATTTTTCGGACTATAAGACACCCCTCCCCAAATTTGGGAGGAAAGGGGGGTGCATTGTATAGTCCGAATGTAGCTTACCTGTCTAGTAAATGTAGGTTATTTACATTTACATTAGTGAGATATGTTATTTGTTATTAAATATTTTACATTTTTGCTTCAAAAAATTTTTTCCCTTTTCCTCCTCTAAAACCTAGGTGTGTCTTATGGTCCAGTGCATCTTATAGTCCTAAAAATGCAGTAATTATAGAAACACATGAAAGGAAGGTATCATATTTAATTCCAATGGTTGTTTTAAAAACACTGCATATCATATACAGATATGCATGTGTGTTAATGAGAAATCTAGTGTAAAAATTACCACCTGGAATCATTCACTTATTTTATAATTGGCTATTATTTTTCAAATCTACTTTGATATTGGTTTTAAATGTTCTGTCATTGCTTTTTTAATAATGATAATGATGATATTAAATGTACCAAATTTTAGATTTATTTCAAATATTCATCAGTTTATTTTTATAAATTAAATTTATTGGGGTGACACTGGTTAATAAAATTATATGTTTCAGGTGTACTATTGCTCCTTTTCAAAATCTATCTTTAAAATCCCATTATCACTGAAAAAATATTGTTTCCAAGGACTTAAATATTCAAGACTGAATGATTTGACTTGACACATGTTAGGACTTCAAAATAAAAGATATATTCTCTGATATTTCTTTATTATTTACTAAATAATTATATTTCAAATAAGGCCCCATACATATGAATATTATGTTTTCTCCTATCCTTCATCATTTTAGTCTATAATTTGTGCTGGAGTTTTATTCCAACTTCTCTCTTCTTGTACATATAAAAAATTCTAGCTTTTATGAGTAGATTTTAGCCTTTCATTACTTGGATTTGTACAAAATGGAGTCTGACCTTTTTATACCTCTTAAATCTAACTTTATTTGAATAGGTACAAACATATCACTACTTCATTATGCCTTCCAATGTCATATGTGATGTTTACACAGTGAAATTCATACTACTTTTTAATGAATTACTTCCTTTATTTCTCTTTTATATTACAATTAATGTATTAATTTTTTAAAAAAACTTGTGTGTAATAAGTTATACTACCTGTACGTTTTATTTCAGAATACTAAAAGAACATTATAAAATATTTGTTTTAAAAAGTAATTGATGAGAGTCATATCAACAAAAATGATGGGACAGGTAGTTCTGAAGGTCTGTCCCTCCACAGAGAAACAAAAAAATGAGTAAAAACCATCAGAATCAACTATGGGAAACTGGAAAATAGTTGTTTATAGTGACCAAAAAGTGCCGAATGAAGAGGAATCTCCAAAATGGTAGAACGTGCCCAACAAGAGCAGACTGCTCGTTCTTCTCCAGCGCACAGTGGCGACGGGACACTGCCACACTGCTTTCAGGATTGGCCAGCATAGTTAGCAATGGTCAGCTCTGGGGAAGGGACTAGATGACCGGGGAACAAAAGTGGGATGGAGTCCTTCTGCACCGTTAAGTGCTACCTTCTGAACTACAAACTACAATACCTATTCAAAAAATAAGTTTAAAGTAACATTTTAAAAAGTTGAATTCTGAGGCATTATCAGCAAGTACTCAAAGTAAACACTCTACTGGTTTTATTCTCTGTGTATTCTTTATCATATAAACAGTGACAATTTTATCTTCTGTTGTATAGAAGCATGGATTCCTTTGATCAGCATCAACAGAAAAATCAGAAAGCCATGAACAAAGTATAGAACAAAGTCAAATACCAGGGAGAACTTAGGTTGTCAGAAAAATCCAACACTGTACTACTTAAAATGAAAATGTTGAATTAAAATTCAATAGTTGGGACAGGCCAAGAGAAGAGAAGGCCAAATGATATTGAGTTTTTTGATTAGAGATCAAGTTTATACATCTCAGTATGCTAAGCGCTCAGCCCAGTGCCAAAGACAAGTGACTGTTCCATAAACGCTTGTTGACCAAAAGAGTGACGTTAAGTGTGAGCAGAGGGGGCTAGCAATCAGGGATCAGAGGAGACAAAGTCTGATGAACAAGCAAGGAAAGCACAAAAAGCGTGTGTGGCACATTCAGCCATAAGAGCTGCTAGCAAAGTGTCACGGCTTTGTTGGTCTACAAGTGCACTACTAGTGTCATGTTTGTTTACAAACATAGGTATTGATAAGCAGGTAATATAACAGAAAGAAATTATTTCTTATGTTAACTTTTATAGCTATACTGCTTTTATTAGTTTTCTATTACTTTTCTAGCAGAGCTGCAAATAGGTATTTTTCTGTGGTTTTTCTTTAATATCACCAATCATCTTAACACCTCCAAGAATTTTTTAAAAATGCAAAATGTAGAGAATGTATTTCCAATGAACACATAATTTATAGATACCCTAATTAATTGTATACAGTTCTCGGCTAAATGTAAAAGATATCTTCATTCTTTTGTCCAATTTCCCAACACCATCTACCTAATTCTGACATCCATCCTAATTCTGAAGATTATATGTATATATATCTTTAATTTCATCTTCTGCTTTCTCAAGGATATGGCTCACTCAGTTCCAAAGAAGCATATATTGATATATATTCTCTACAACCCTTCTGCTCTCTAACAAATCACCCCAGTCACCTCCGGGACAGCTTCTTTATTTCCTTCTTTCTTTATGCTTACAAGTGCAAAATGACCCAGACCTACATCAAGCACTATTAGAGCTATAAACTTTAAAGTAAAAATCAACATTACCCTAAAAATGCCACATTTCATTTATTTTAAAACGTTTCTGAAGCAAAATATTGAGCTGGGTGATGGCATTTGGTTTATTGTATTATTCTCGATACTTTTTAGTATGTTTAAAACTATTTAAAAACTACAGATCAATATTTACAGCTCTTAAAAATGTACAGCATAGTATTGTATGATCCCTGTAAGTGTCAATACTTTTCATTCTCCTATTTTCTTCAAGCATGAAATTGTTTCTTATTCAGTTCCACTGTTCTTGTTTTGTTTACTTACTAGTGTTCTATACATTTTCATGAACAGTTGCTGTATTTCACATATCTGATGCATTAAATAGTCTATGGCTGCCATGTGAATGTAATTATTACCTATTTCTGTAAGGGAAAATGAGATCTAAGATCCAAAATAACCCACTTAAAAATGAACTTTCTAGGGGGAGGGTGGTAATGGGAGGGAAGTGGGGAGGGTTGGGGGGGTGCTGGATTGGGAGTAAAAGGGAGAAAATTGTATTTGAACAATGATTAAAATAAAATAAAGAGAACTTTCCAAATGAATAGATTTCTCTGTATCTTAAAGAAAACAAGATAACATAATAAATAAAGCAAAAATGAAAGTATTTTATGTACTATCAAAACACCACAATGACAAAAATCAGTAAGTATGGTGCAAGTAATGAGATAAGAAGCATTCTTGATGGTTTATGTTCAGAAAGATTTTTCACAATGAATAAAGGCTCTGATCCCAAATATGTATTCCAGTACAGTACTTTAAAAATATCTTTATATTTTATATTCTTTATATTCTATTATTTCTCCCAAATGAGAGAAAATACTCAGGGGTTGAAAGATATATGTTAAAGATTGGATAAGAGTACACAAATTATGCACCATAATTGTAAGAATTACAGAAATTACTACTGATATGCTACAAATCCCAGAAATTACCACAGCATCATTATCCTGAAGTTCCACAGGAAAAAAAACCATGTGTTTATATCACTCTACCTGCCACAATGTAAGTAAAAATTCTTCAACTTATTCCTGGTCGATACAATTATATGGCTACCAAGCTGACCTAGCACCACTTACCTCAGTGAGTTGAGATACTACCTTTATATATATCCAGACAAACTTGGATCTATTTCTGAGCTTTCAGTTGTCTCCCATTGGTTTATTTGTGCACCAATACCATACTATTTTAATTAGGGACTTTACAGTATATTTTAATTTCTGGTTTTTCAAGTTTTTTGATTACTGTATTCCTTAGAGCTATTAACATGAATGAAGAGTTTCCAAGCTCTCTTTCCAAGCTCCACTGAGAAATAAATTTATGTTTCATCTCAAATGT